GGGGGGAGGGGTTTGTGCGGGGAGAAGGGTGCAACAATGAATGAATGGAATCCCAAAATCTCTGTAGATGTTCACTGAAATGAAAAATAAACAACCTAAATTAAAAAAAAATAAATAAAAAGAGAAATGAAAAAAAAAATTACATGGGGTTATACATAGTCTGAATGGCAGTTAATAATCTCTGTACAGTTGTGGTGATGGTTTAGATCCATGGAATTTTTTTAAATTGTAGAAAGGATACACTTCACATTCCATAACTGAAATGACATTAGTTACAAATTCAGTCAAAAACTAAAAAGTCTTAAATTCATTCACACAGGAGGAGATTGCCCATCTTTCTCCCTTGGAGAAACTGGTGGATTTAACTACTAGTCTTTGGGTTGATGGCACAGCTCCTTACTCACCAGGCCAGCAGAGCTCCCTTAAATTCAGTTACCAGAGTAGATGACTGTAAAACAAGTAAACTTTGTAATTAGGAAATATTAAGATGAAAAGAAAATGTATCAAAATCTATGGAACATATCAATAAAAACCAGAGGCAAACTTGTAGTATTGAAACCTTACATTATTGATAACAGAGAATACAAACAGTGTAAAAAATCAATGAAGGCAGTTAGAAAATTAAGAGTTAAACGAAAGGAAACCCCTAAAAATAGTTTTCAAAGTGAATTGAAGAACATTATCAACTGAGAAATTATAGTGGTCTAGTGAAATTACTTAATACAAAATAAAGTTATAATTAAAAAGTACCTTAATTGTTTAATTGAAAATTGATTGCATAGATATTGCTCCTGTTCTTAAGCAGAGTTGATCTTTCCAAGCATAATATATAAAGTTGTTGTTGTTGTTCTTATGTACCATCTAGTTGCTTGCAACTCATAGCAACCCTATGCACCATAAATAGCTCTGAGTTCTGTCCTATTTTGAGCCAATCTCACCATCTCTGACACACCTGGCCTCATTACCCCAGTAACTGAGTCAGTCCATCTCACCCAAGGTCTTTTATCTCCTGTGCCATCTCTCCCCCTTTTCAAGCATGATGATGTCTTTCTCCAGGAACTGGCCCCTCCTGCCAACATATCCAAAGTATGTAAGATGAGCTTCAAAAATACCTGCCTCCAAGGAGCTCGATTTCACTCTGTCCAGGACAGATCTGTTCGTTCTTTTGGCTGTCCGTGATATGTTCAGTGCTCTTCTCCAGCATCACAACTCAAAGCCATCAATTCTTGTTCTATCATTCTTAGTCATTGTCCAGCTCTCTGATGTATAGTAAGTAATTGTGAGACTATGGCTTGGATTAGGTGCACTTTGGTCTCTAGACTGGCATTGTTCCTTTTCTGCACTCTGGAGAGGTGCCTGACAGCAGATTTTCCCAATGCAATTTGTCTTTTGATTTCCTGACTGCTGGTGCCAAGAGTGTTGGTTGCAAAACCAAGCAAGCTGAAATTGTTAACGATATCAATCTTTACTCCGTCTATCATGATGCTGCCAATTAGCCAAGTGGCGTGAATCTTTGTTTTCTTGATGTTGAGCTTCAGTCCATATTGAAGATTCTTCTGAAGGCCCTCTGCAGAAGCAAATGCCTCTGGTCCTCCTCAGTTTCAGCAAGCAAGGTTGCATTATCTGAATAAAGCAGCTTGTGGATAAGTCTTCCTCCAATTGAGGTCTCATGCCTCCTCATAAAGTCCAGCTGCCTAAATGATCTCTTCTGCAAATAGACTGAAAAGATACAGACATAAAATGCATCCCTGATGTACACCTTTCCTGATTTTCAACCACGCAGTGTTTCCTTGCTTTGTTCTGATGACTGCTTCATTAAGGAAAACAGGACAAATTCAAATTACACAACACTAAAATTAAATATGTGTTTTTGTTATTAAGTTATTATTTGCTATCAAGTAGGAAATGACTCATGGCTGGCCCTCCATTAGTTTTCAGAGTCCATAAATCCAATGGGATGATACTGCCCATTTTTCTCCTGTGGAGCAGCTGGTAGATTTTTCACCACCTGCCATTGGATTGACAGTGAAATTCCTCTCAGGATGGTAGTATGTGAAAAGATTAAAAGGGAAATTGTGTTGTTGTAGAGTGCCATGGAGTTGAGTATGACTCACAGTGACCCTATGAATAAAAGATCTAAACCCTGTTCTATCCTCTGCCATCCTCACACTTCCTGACATACAGAAGGCCATGACAGAGGGAAATGACAGATATAAAATGCCTTATAAGCATAAGCTGTGTGCCATCCAGTCAGTACCAACTCATAACAACAAGATCTGATGGAGTAGAACTACCACATGGTTTCCCATGCCAAGAGTAGATATCCAGGTCTGTCCCATGGAACTCAGTTGAAACTCATGGCCATTGACTCAGATATGACTCCTAGCAGCCCCTCTAGCAGGGGGAGATTGTCCATTTTTCTACCACTGAGAGGCTGGTGGGTTCAAACCACCAGAGAGGCACTGCCTGTGGGTTAACTCATTATAACATCTGGGCTTCTGTCAGTTTATCTAAAGCTAATGGGTGTTATCTAAATGTTATCTCGGTTAGTAGGTAAAAGATCAGCAATGCAACAGAGGATAAGATAACTTTGGTAATACAAATAAGATAATGGTTTTACCTATTAATTTATCAAAGAGTCATGAGTAATATTTAATATTGATGTATCTCTGAGAGAATGGCACTGCTGTTGGGATCAGGAAGAAGTGCTGTCATTTTGAGACTTTGAAAACATGAAAAATGTGAAAACTGACCTTTGAAAATGAGAGATAATACACATAGCCATTTATCCTAAGAAAATATATCAGTAGAGAACTGGACAAGGCACAGTTCACAAAAGGAATATAACTTACAATGTGTTAGTAAGGTCAGTGCTTATCAAAGTGTAAGCCCTGCACAGTGACATCGGTATCACATAGGAACTTGTTAGAAAGGCCTGGGTCACCCTCCACTCCAGAAAATCTCCAAGTGGGAGTAGCTTAGCAGTCCGTGTTGTAAGAACTCTCCTGGGCCTT